AAACACACAAAAGCAATTTCAAAATTAGAAAGTACCTAAGATCCCATCGAAAACCACAGATAGAAAGGATGCTAACACCTTCCCTATCTATAATCTACCCCCCGTACTCAGAAACATCTCAAAAAATGTTTTTTCTGTTCTTTTTCCTTTTCCTTGTTGGATGAAATAAAAGTCGGCGGCGACTCTTGCTTACCGCGACATTTTGCGAACAAAAAACGCAAACCGGTATTAACATTCGGTTCTGCCACCGTATCACAGTGAGTATCTGGAAAATGAATACAAAAATAAGATAGGAAACACAATGCTTTTTTTGAAACACCAATTGTCTTTAAAAGATAATACATTTCAGATAATGAAAAATATTACAATTCTAAAATAATAAATTCGCTTGAAGGGAAATAAACAAAAGGAAAACAATCTTCTAAGCCCGTTTATGAAGGTCTTCTCTGAAATGATCGACCCTCGTCCTGCATAGCTTGAGAAAATTGTCAACATCCTCTGAGAGAGGGACCATTACCCTTTTTGCATCCTTTAAGCTTATGGGAATGTCTTTGATGAGGTTTTTGGCAAAGAAAGCGAGCTTCTCATGTTTATCTTTGTAGTATCGGTATTCTCGATAGAGGTTGGGAATTATTTTGTGGTTATCCCTTCTTGCTTGCGCAATCTTTGTATACTGTTCTTCCCAATACATCTTTTCAGCCCTCAGTTTTGTATAAATTCTTCGTTGTATCAGGAAGTATTTTTGGAGCCCTTCCAGCTCAAGGCATACCTGCTCGTACTCCTCGATTTTATGGGCCAAATGTCTTTCTGCCCTCATTTTTGCAAGGCGCTCCCTTACTTTCGATTCTTGGCTATCCTGAAGCCCAGTAGTGAGGTATTTCAACTGTTCTTCCTAATCTAAAGATACTTAGGCCAAGCTATATATTTGAGCCCTTAACTCTTCCTCCAATACTTTCTTTTCTTGCATGACTTTTTCATACCATCTATTCAACTTTCTGATTTCATTAGCAACATCTTCCAGCCTCTGATCATGGGAATCCAGATTAAAAGTAACACTTAACAGCCCCTCGGTTGAATGCTTCCTTTTCAAACTTTCCTTTTCAAATGCTTCGCATTCTTTTTAAATATGTTGGTCTTTCGAGTATGCGTTGCATTTGTCTTTTCTCTTCGGTCAAGTTAATAAGATTGCGCTCTAGCTCTTCCTTCTCCCTCTGAGCCTGTTTCAGTGCTTTTTTCAAATCATCCACCTCTTCTAAAGACATAGGAGGAGTGACTGGAACCTCTTACTTGTATTCAGGATCTATATCAAAAGGAAACCTGATAATTTGCACATTGTTTTGAACCCATTGAGTGTAAGGTACTTTTGCTACCGCATTCTTCTTTTCCGCTTTTCTTTTGTTGACCCTACTCCAAGCCCGGATAATTTTATTGCGTAGCTCTCAGTGATTTCTACCCATGTCATGAACGATAAATTGCTAGAGTTGTTCATCCAAAGGTTTTTCTTCTAAAGGATATCCTAGTTATCGTAAGGCCAAGGTAGGATTGTAATTGATGCAGCCTTGTGACCCGATTAATGGAACATTAGGAAAATCCCCACAACTGTATATAATATCACCAATATCTAACTTTCTGGCATACCACAACATAGAGCTAGCAATGAGAGATAGTAACTTATGAGGCCATTCATACCTTGTCAGACTCGTAATTAAGTGATCTTCCTTGTAAAGGTGGGTCATGAACCATGAGTGTAGCAATGGAATACAATAATTTACTGTACCTCTTTTCTTTTCGTACCGTGTATGAATGGCGTAGTAGATATCAACAAGAAGAGCTGGAGTGGGATTTGTATTAAAAGTCTTTACACCCCAAAACACATTGATGGTTGTAGGGTCAATATAGTCTATAGTGCGTGGAAATAAGACAATTCCAAATGTAAGCAGCCCTAGTCAATCGACACAAGATTCCCATTCTTTGTTATTTTCCAGATCGAGAGCTTTATTTTCCAGATAACACCTCTTAATTCCTCGCACTTCTCCTTCTTTTCTATAATTAAGAGAAAACTCAGGATAGGGTTTTTTTAAACCTTCGGCCAGTATTTTGATGTTGACGGTTTGCCCAATGCCCATATAAGCCTTCTCCTTGGAGAAGTTCAGAATTCTATCTAATTCCTCTAAGGTCGGAGCTAACTGAAAATCTTGAAATGTGAAGCATCTCAACGGAGGATCATAAAACTATACTAGGGCACAAATAACGTCCAAGTGTACTTCGACTTTGGTTAAATCCAAAATATCCCCATAGTGACGAACAAATGTTTTCGGAGCCCTTTCAGATAGTCTTTCCCTTATAGCTTCGATTTGGGTCATATCAAGCTTGGTAGCATTGATACGAACGAGTTGTTTTCCTTTAGTATTCATTTCCAGATACTCACAAAAAACCTTTAATTTTTATATATATATTTCTTTTGACCCTGTGAATAAGACAAACAGAAGCAAACAAAAGATGATGAATATATGAAATGTAAAAATGTATGAATGCATGAATATAAGGCTTAAACGACGGGATTTGATGGACAATAACCATTAGAAAGTAGGCTCTTAGCTTGGTTTTATGGATATTCTACCCTCCCCATAAGGTGTTTTCCTTAAGGGTATTATGAATAACACTTGAGGTAAAGGCACAAGAGTCTCCCTTAAGCGGAGTCTCTTTGCAGACCGAAACTTTCGTCTCTAGGTCGTGAAAGGTCTCATCATGAGATTTTAGTTTGAGGTTTATACAAAGAGTCATAGGCATCATTCCAAAGTTCTACTTCCCAAGAGGATGTATCTTGTGACATATTTCTTTTGCGGAACTCCACCGACTCTAGGAAAAGTCGTCACATAAACTCATAGGGATGATGTATCCCCTTGGCTAATAGACGAACCTTCTTTCTAAGGGTTTTTTTAAAATATATATTTTTTCAAATTTTAAATCCCATCATAAATGAATAAATATAATGAAATGATAAAATAAGCAAGCAATAAATAAATAAGAAAGAATAAAAAACACTAAAACCTAAAGGAGAAGCTTCTAAACCTAAGGTTGTGTCCCCAACAGAGTCGCCAGCTGTCGCAATTGGTTTTCAAATCAGAGTCGCCACCCTTAATTTTTATCCTAAAGGAAGGGAGTATAAAGGAATAACCCTAAAAAATTTCAGAAATTCTAGATTTGGACTCGGTTCTAGACAAAAGGAAGGTGTTAGGCACCCCTCATCTACCTTGTTCACAAAGATACTAGGTTTAGAAGCGTAATTTTTAGGAAAAATGGTTTTAATGTTAATTAGAGGGAAAGTATTTGAATTTTAGTTAGGGGGACTCGCCACAATTTTAATCGTATGCCTATGTATCTGTTGTACCCCAATTTTTGACCTAAGATCCCATTTTTATTTTTTGCATTTTAAGATAAGTCAAGGTCACGAAATACGGTCGGTTTTAACGTCTCACTTTCGAGCTTTGACTATGCGAAGATTGTCAAGTGTTTTGAACATTTTGAGCCTATGTATCACTAACTTCTAATCGCATACGAAGGTGTATGTTCATGTTTCCTTTTGCTTCATGTGCAGAGACAGGTCTGAATCAAGAGCATCAAGTGTCACGCCTCAATTAAGGTTTTGAGTCTCCCAAGCCTGAAGTACGGTTGATTGTGGATTCTCGAAGACTGATTCATCAAGGCACACCGTTGCACCCTAGATTTCGCCCCTAACATGTTTTAATCGCACTTTCATATCATATTTTGTTATTTGGTCACGATCATTAGTAAATATCTTCATTCATCATATTTTGCATCATTAGTCGTATTTAAGTTGACCAGAAAAAGTCAGTTTAAATCAAAGTTTGCATCGTCTTTCAGTTGTAAAATACCTGACATTTCACTTCATGCATTTTTATCTCTTTACTCGTTTCTTGCATTGCTCCAAGTTATTTATATGTCGATAATAAAAATATTTTGGTTTTATAGACAAACTGTTAAAAGCGATTCAACAATGTACAAAAAATTAGCGAGAAAAATATTTCAAGTTTTCACCTTTTTACCGATCATTTTATGAATATGCGCTTCGCGTAGATTATGACGGTATGCTCGCTTTATTTTTTCGGTACAGTTCGAGGTCTCGTTTTTAACCTTAAACGTCTGTTTAGTCTGATATTTTTATTACTATTTTATTTTTGATTTTTTGACTTCTTAAATATTTTTTCTTTAATCTTTGTGACATGTAGGTTATTTTAATGTGTTCATTTTATTTTTTCGGATAAATTTTCGTCCGTTTTTTATCATTTTCGGTCATTTTGGGTCTTTATTTTTTTTTCATAAAATATTCAAAAAAATCATTTTAAATTGAGTTATTTTTTATAATTTCAGGTTTTATTTTATTTTTGTCATTCAGGGACTTTTTGGTCACAAAAAAAAATTAATTAGACTTTGCTCAATTCTTATTGGTTGATAGCATGATTTGCGGATTGATAGAGATTGGGTTTATATTGAACGGCTTGGATTTATTCCTTTTCATTTTTTCTATTTTTAAGTTTCTTTATCTCTTTGTAAGGGGGACTTATCTCTTTCTCTACCAATAAAACAAAAAGACAAAAAAATAGCACTTACAGTATTTCCTTTTCTCTCTTTCCAACGCCCAACATATTTTTTCTTTTTATTTCCATCCTCTCCCCACATATAACTTCCTTCACTTTCTATCAAAAAGCAACACCACCATCATACACCCTTTCATCTATTACCCAACACACATACATAAGACACACATAACAAAAAAAAACACACACAACAAAAAAAGCAACACAGTACTCCTCTAAAACTCTGTACATGCGTTGTTAGAAAAGCTTGCTTCTACAGATTTCATAGACAAGTTCCGGAGAACGAAGGTTGACGTTTCACTCTTGAAAAAGCTGAAGAACACACTGGTGAGGATTCTAATTCTACTTAATGACGATGCTGATTTCAAGGAATGGTTGGATATGGTGAGATATGCTGTCTTTGAAGTTTACAATTTGTTTGACCAAATCAACACTGAGGCATTGCGCTGCAAAGTGGAAGTCCTAACTCCTACTACTACTAAGGTTACTGTGGCAGAATCAAAATAGATTTTGAACCTGAATTTTCCGGTGAAACTTCTTCCGTTCAACTCATTCAACTCTCTAAACATAAGCCCTGGTAAATTCCCGTTCCTCCGCAGATCTTCGAAGAAGCTGTCCTCTGCCTCACATCGCCGATCACTCTGCCATCCGCGGATTCCACCGGTGCCACAGCAGTCGTTTTCCTATCCAGCATATCCTTTTCATCGAACGCCCTTCACTGCAAATCCGCAACAACCGTCGCGACACCACCTCCATGAAGCGCACAACCTCTGCTCCTCCGAATAATCTCTCGACGAGATCTGCACCACCAGAAACCAAAGCCAAAATCGTACCACAATGATCGGTATTCCTCTTTTTTTTCCCCTCTGATTTGACTTGTTCATGTGTTATGTTCTTGTTTTTGGTGTTAAGAATTTGAAAGAATTTGAAAGAAAAGGTTGTTGTATGAGAAAGAAGAAGAACCATTCAATGTGTTGCGGTTGTTTTCGTTCTCTCTCTAGGTGTGTATTATGTTGTTTTGTTGCTTTTATTTTTAATTAAATATGCCACGTGTCAATTGCCCATAGGATGCCTCAAATGTTGAATTGGTTAAACTCTAGTATTTCTTCTAATTCCTTTTCATTAAGTGTTTAACATGTATGTGTATGTTGCAGTAACAACTTTGTTTCCTTATGTTTAAGGTTAATAGTCCATTTGCCCTCCTGTCTTTTGAAAAATCCCATGTAAAAAAATATTTAGACTTCTACTATTTTCATTTTTTATTAAACTATGTTATCCAAAAAAAAAATATAAAAAAATATTAGTAAATCTTATATTTAGATTTAGTTTAGTATTAATTTAGAATTTTAATTAGTTTAGATGTATTTTATAACTTTAGAATATTTAGAATCATAATTAATAACTTTAAAATTTTAATTTAATTAGATATAAATTAGTAATGTTAGAACCTTTAATTAGTTTAGGTATATTTTGATAACTTTAGAAATTTCAATTTGTTTAGATCTATTTTATAACTTTAGAACTTCTAATTAGTGTAGATTCATTTTGATAACTTTAGAATTTTAATTTAGTCTTAGAATTTTAATCTTTAGTTTAGAATTAATTTAGTTTAGTATTAATTTAGATTTATTTTATAACTTTTTGTTTTAGCTTTAGTTTAGTAAACTTTAGAATTTTTATGTGCTGTAGTATTATTTTAGTAATTTTAGGATTTTATTTCATTTAGATTTGACTTAGTAAATTTTAGAGTTTTATTTGTTTTAGTTTTGACTTAGTAAACTTTAGAATTTTATTTTGTTTTAGTAACTTTAGGATTTTATTTCATTTAGATTTGACTTAGTAAATTTTAGAGTTTTATTTGTTTTAGTTTTTGACTTAGTAAACTTTAGAATTTTATTTTGTTTTAGTTTTATTTTAGTAACTTTAGGATTTTATTCCATTTAGATTTGACTTAGTAAATTTTAGAATTTTATTTGTTTTAGTTTTAATTTAGTAAAATTTAGAATTTTATTTGATTTTATTTAAGTTAACTTTAGAATTTTATTTGTTTGGTTTTAGTTTAGTGACTTTAGAATTTTTATTTGATTTAGAATTAGTTTAATAAATTTATAATTTTTATTTGATTTAGAATTAGTTTAATAAGTTTATAATTTTTATTTAGTTTAATAACTTTAGAGTTTTTATTTGATTTAAATTTAGTTTAGTAGTTTTAGAATTTTCATTTGTTTTAGATTTAATTTAGTAACCTTAGGATTTTAATTTAATCTAGATTTAACTTACTAAATTTTAAAGCTTTAGTTTAGTTTAGATCAAATTCAATAATACTAGATTTTTTTTTATAACCTTAGAATTTGTAATTAGTTTAGAATTATTTTAGTAAGTAATTTTTAATTTAGTTCGAATAACTTCTTTAGATAATTAGTTACATTCTCTTTTATTCTATTTAAATATCTTTGTCATTTCAATTTCTCGATGCTTTTGGTCATTAATCTGTTTCATTAGATTTGTTTTTCTTGTGAATTTTTGAATGTTTATACTTTGTGGATTCATCTTATTTTACTTGCTCGATTTATTCCAAGGGAAATCTTTCAACTCAGCTGACTTCATGTCATCGAATACATCTTCTACAATCGTGCGAATACCCTCATTCATCTTTTGTTTGTTACTATTTTGTTAAACCTAAGATAATTTTCCCAAAAGACTCCATTTTCAAACTCACACCTTTTAAGTCAAAACTTCGACACTAGGTCGTCGTATCTTCAAAAATCTCGTCCATACCCATCTTTTAGACAAACGAACCATTTTAATCAAACAAACAATTTTAACCAAAAAAACAGATATTTCAAAAGGTTCCTGCGGAGTACCGCATATGCATTAGGTGCTAATACCTTCCCATTGTATAACCAACCCCCGAACTCTCGATCTCTTTCAAAACGCATTATATTTTTATTACTTTTAAGTATTAGTTTACATTGCATATTTTAGGGTTTTATTTCGCTCTTTTCCCTTTTCCCTTGGAAATAATAAAGCGCGGTGGCGACTCTTGCTTTTTGTGAGTCAAGTTAATTAATAGCTTGATCTCTGATTTTCACCGCTACAGAATTGGCGACACTGTCGGGGAAAGATTGACCTCCTGCTGGTCCATCCCTAAGTGGGTTAAGCCTAATTTGTTTTATCTGTTTTATCATTATTTGATTGTTTGATTATATGTATATATTATGATTATTTGGGTGTTGATAATATTTACAAAGGACAAGTCCTATACTCGGACTAAGTTACACTTAGGAATAGGACGGGCGGTATAGTCATGTTAACTTTGAGGGAGTAATCCCGAAGAAGGAGGCATGAGATCCCCCACTCAGTGGAAGGCCCTTTTGAACGTAATATTTGTTTACCGAGTAATCGGGAAGACATTATTATTTTCTACCTAGGAGCCAGAGAAGCTGGGAACTGTAGAACCATAACCCATCTTGGCCTTTTAGGTGTAGCGCGGAGATTATAACAGAGTAATCCGGAAGTAATTGTTACGCGATGCTACGCTCGGATGAGTTTCTCTTGAGAATATTGTTGATTATTGAGTAATCAAGACGTTGGTAATATTCGAAGGAGGAATGTAGACTCCGGGAACTCTTAGAACCTTGTTCTACAGGTGTGATTAAACCGTTAGTACATACCTTGGGGGGTGTTCCTTACCTTGACTCCATGCTCGTGACGTTGAACCTTTCGACTTTATTTGTGACCTTTCTTGTGGTTGTTTCATAGCCATGCATTCATGCATCCATAAAACCCTTTTCACTTGACTTTGAAGGAATTTGGAGGTCTTTCTTTGTAAACATCACAAGTTTCATCAAGCTCAATGGATCTTGGGTGTTGATAGGGAGAAAACCCTAATCCACCAAAATGGATGATTGATCTTGATGATAACTCGATCAATGTTTGGAGCCAATTTAAAATCCATCTTCTATCTTCATACTTGGATGTTTACAACTTAATATCTTGAGTTCCTTGAAAATCAAATAAAAACTCTCTTTTGCATATCATGCATCATTCTACATTTTTTGTTTCACTTTCAAAGGTCTTTTTCCAAGTCTTATTTTTCCTTTGGTCTCACTAGTACAACACTGACGCTAAGAGAACAATGGAGAATATCAAGCAAGAGATTTCTGAACTCCGCAGAGAGGTGACTAATTTGAAAGCTAGTATGGAGCACTTAACTGGTTTGGTTGAAATTTTGGTTGCCTCCCAAGTCAATCCTTCTAGGAGGAAAGAAGCGATGATAAAAGTCTTCACTGAAACTCTGAAATCATTCATTCATGAGAAGATGATAATTAATGCGCCTAGTGACTTTCCTGACAAGGTGAATGTGGGAGTGCGTCTAGAAGAAGATGTCTGAAAGGGATGTTTATGTGAAGATGGTAGCTCAGCTAATGGTATGAAGAAGTTTGATAATAACTTTTCCAAGAAGAGAACCAGAGGAAGAAATAATCATCGTCAGAATCATCATGTTTCTCCTATTCATCAACAGAATCAGCAAGTTCCTAATCAGAAGAAAACCCAGTTTGATCCAATTCCAATTACCTTTACAGAGTTGTTCCCTATCTTGATGCAGAGGAATTTGGTTCAGACCCGACCTCCACCGAAGGTTCTTGAGAAGATACATTGGTACTACAAAGCTGATTTGGATTTTACTTTTCATCAAGGTGCTCCTGGGCATGACTTGGAGGGTTGCTTTGCTTTGAAGATTGAGGTTCAGAAGTTGGTCAGAAGTGGTATCTTGTCATTCAAGGACGTCGGTTTTGAAGTTCAAATCAAGCATGCGCCGAAGAGTAAACATGATTGATGGTGACTTTGATTTTTGAAGGATGTTTTCAGTAATTCAAGTCCAGATGGAAAGCCTTCCCAGATTATTAACTTATTTCTGCTCTTTGTAATTTTTCTTGTTTATCAAAACATTGTTTGCATGTAAGAACTTGTTTGCATCTGAATGATTATCTTAATACAATGGGTATGTTTGTCTTGAAGAAATTCATTCGTTTCACTCATATTTGTTTTAAAATTTTAAATCTCTTTTTGCATTATGATACCAACTTGTTGCCCATTCTCTTGCCTAGGCAGAGATTGAAGGGAGGATGATAATCTAAAGAACACAAAATCTCTGGCTGTTTGCTTTTGGATAAAATCTTGTTGATGATGTACAGGCATTGTTTCTAATCCCTAAACACCGGAGATATAAGGAAGATAATCCCTTGCTAACCCCTTTTGAGCCTTTGAAGCAGAAGTTTCTTTCCTATATGAAAAAACCTTGAATTTTAACCTGGGGCAGGGTAGTTTTCAGTTAATCTGATTGAGTGTTCGAAATTCATAAGGAAGATGTTTTTTGAAGAGAAACTACGAGGGCTATCCTTCATGTATAATGAATCTAGAGGATGTGGAACCACAATGTTATCCCTCATTCATCAAGAAACGAGGCAATCACAATCTTCTCAACAAGCAAATACAAGCTAATGTCACACATTTTGTTCAAAAAGTCAAAAATCAAGAAAAAGAAAAGCCTGCTAAGTCAAAAAACATGAAAACGTGTGACTTAGGAAAAATTAAGGCATCCCGCTGGACTATCAATTCAAAAATTAGTTCAGGCAAAAATTAGGGAAAATAAAAATTGCAAAGAAAGGACTACAAAGAAAAGTCCTCAACAAAGAACAAATTGGTGACTACAAACACGAAGACATAAGGGTGGTTTCTACTCCGAAAGCCTCGT